AAAAACAGGGGCACTTGAAAGTGGGGGTTGACATAATCAGAAAACGCCATGACACTAGCATAACTTCCACTGCAGAAGTTTCTATTTGTCTGTCACATAATTCATTATTATTAAAAGTAGTTTTAATGCGACCCGGGCGCGCCAAATTTTTGTACATCTTTTTTTTCTTACATTAGATTTTCTTTTATATTTTATTTTTATATAAATACAAGTATAATAATTTAATAAAATTTTTTTGGCAGCTATAAATTGATATTAATTTTGGATTGATAACGTCTTTTTTCACCTTTGCAAAGTTTCTTTTCTACTTCATATAATTAAAAGTTTGTGCTAATTTTTTATTTTTGATTCATGTTTTTTTGTAGAAATAATGAAACGATTTTTCAAATAAAAATAATTACAAAATAAAATGTGTTTCAATGTAAAGCTCTTTTTATTTTATTAAATTAGAAGTTGGCGCTAGTTCTTCATATTACATCATATGAAATTTATTATTAAAAAGACTTTTGTAGATGGAAATTTTTGTATAAAATTCTTTCTTTTACATAAATAAGAAAACAGGCGCGTGAACTTGACGTTATTTTTTACCTTTTTTAAAGGGTAATTTTATTAGTATTGCTTAACCTCGGTATTGGGAAGCCTGTTACTGAAATGATCAAATAAATTGATTATGGGGTCTCTGCTTAAAACATAGTATAATAGATCTGATTAATGAATGTTACTATATTGTATAAATATAGTTTCAATTTTAAAATCTCGATTGCATATGTAATTCTTATAGATAATTTAATTACATATATAGAGCCCTGAACCTATATTATGTTTAACATGAATCATTATTCTTTCTCTGAAAATGTTATAAATTGTTGTATATATTTTATTTACTTGTTAAAGAATTTGTTAATAACTATATTAAATATAGGAAATATTTTTCTTATTTAATTATATTATAGTTATGTTATAGTTATATTATAGTTAATTAAGAAAGATAGTTAATGTTATTTCATTATTTATTCATTAAAACTAACTTAAAAATAACGATATATTTATGAAATTTATAAATGATGATAATATTTCGTGATAAATGTTATATTTATTTTACGTCATTATTTAGTACACTAATGTCGAATGACGAGAAATGACCTTAAATTATCATCATTATCTTGCTACTTGGGGGTGTATGTATATATATATATATATATATATATAATTGGGAATTAGGAAAATTTTAATATAATTTCATATAATTTGACATAGAGTTATAAATATTTTGATATAATTGCATATAATTAAATATGCAATTATAAATTAATTGCATATTAATTATATGCAATTTAATAATTAATAAAATAATAATAATATGCAATAACATAAATTTAATTTTTGAAAGAAATTCTTAAATTTCTTAAATTCTTAATTTCTAATAAAATAATTAATAAATAATAATAAATAATTAATAATAAAATTTTAATTTCTTAAAATTCTTAAATTTCTTTTGAAAGAAATTGTACATAATATTTTATATCATGTTCTATTTCATAATAGAACATGATATCATCATAAAATCATACTTTTTAAAGTTACTTTATATAAATAAAATTTTAAGATCTTTTCATCTTATATAATCCAACTTTGCATTATAATATCACTGAACCAGTGTACTTACACTAAAGACAATTGGAGCCATTAAACTCTCGGTGAAATCCATATCCTTTAAAATCCATATCCTTTTCATACTGACAGAAACAATGTCATCAAGATCAAGATCAAGATTAAAAATTTGCTACGGAACTCAAATAAAGACATTTTCCCATTTGTCGTGCACAAATGTTGTTTTGAATCACAAATGCGTTTTTTCTTTCTTTCTCTCATTGATAGAGTACCGTACATCATGTGTTTTGCTGAATTCCACAATGGATGTGGAATTTTATCAAGTCAATATGAATATTTGATGATTTTGTTCTGCATTGTTCTTTTCGTCTTTTTGTATTTTACAGAGCAACTGCAGATTCTATCTATGCCAAAGATCACTGTTGCTCGTGCACACTTTCACCTTAGCTTCACAAAGTCGAACTGATCAACTGAGAGCCAATCGATCTTGCGATGATTGCGAAGAAAGTTCTTCTTTCACTGTCGCGCTGCCACCATCCATCGGTTCCATTCAGTACACATGGCACAAACGTAGTGAATCCTCTCAATTTAGAGTCATGATGGTCGCGTGTCTTTCGTTTTTTCATGTAAGAATGGATAGCACGTATGTCAATGGAAATCCTACATAATATTACTTCATATCATTTTTTATGTGACTTAATAATTTTCTCAAACTCCCCCTTTTCTCAAACAATGTTTAAAAAAAGTACTTTTGAATTTTAACTTTCCGTAAACGTTATTCAAATCTGAATATAAACTATTGTAAATAAGATGATAAATTTTCAGCTTTATTGGAATAATCCATAATTGTATGTATTATATCCGTAATGCTTAAAAAATTCCGATTATTGTTTATTATTGTATATTGTAATACTTAATCTTGGTATTATCTTCATGATTCCTGAGCTGAATACGTTTTTATTTTTATTAAAGATGCTGTTAAATATTTTAACATATAAATTCATGTTTCAAATATATAGCTATTATGATCCTCATGTAGGGAAATTGCTTGTTGTGTATCGAGTCACGAAGTTCTCCGAATAGTGTCGAAGATTCTTAGAATTCGGTATTATTAGTCATTCTTCGACCGCCCGCCCGTTGTTCGCAATTAAACGCCGCACGATACACAGTGTCAGTTAAAAAGAGAATTCAGAATATAGTTGCGAGCCAATTTATACAGTCCACTTGTGAAATAAATAGCGCTAATATCTACTTATATTAAGCGAGAGTTATTTATCGTTACATCATTCCAGCAAATCAAAGGCAATAAAACACGATACAAATACAATAGATGTGATTGCCATCGTTGCTTCAACAAAGGATATATGTATCAAAAACTGAATGATATTCACAGTACTTTTCTTTCGAAAATATTATAAGCTAAACCCAAGAGGGCTATTGCTGGTCTGTCTTCGAAAAGAAGAAAGGATTGATAGAATTTTGCCTTATACAACATATCATACACATCCTATTTGCAATTCATTTAATTTCTTTCCTAAAATTTGAAACGCATTTTTTTTGGAAAATGTCCCTTTTAAAGACAAAATGTCATCATGATAAGATAGAAACGTCTTTAAAGAATGAATGCACATTTTTTAAAAAATAATACTAAATTAATGAAGTTACATTATTTATAAAATTAATCTATTTTTAACCTTTTATTAGAGATAAAATAATCTATATGAAAGTAAAACAAATAATTTTTAATTAAGATATATTTCATTAAATCAACAATTTTCATAAAAGTTTATTTATGTATAAGAATATATGTAGACTAAAATTATTTTTTTAGAATATATTTATTATATTTTAATTTAGGAAAAATCCTGCGGCACAGGTAACGATTCGGAAATTTCATTAACCCACATTTATCATTGAAAGCAAAACATCTCAGATCGCTGATCTAGTTTTGTATATTGCTCATTCATGTAAATATATAAATATTTTAAAAACATTTTGATTTTAAAATTATTATAATAAATTCATTGATGTATTTATCTTATTTATTTGCAGTATTATTTTATTTATAAACGTTTATTTATGTTTCCTTTCGTTACAATTTTTTAAATAAATAATGGTAAACTAATAGACAAGAATAGTAAATGCAATATTGATATTTATTTATAAAGTTATAATAGAACAAGATTTATTTAGAATTAAATAAAAAAAATAAAAAAATAAATAAAAAAAATTTTATGCACTAAATATATAATTGGCGAGAAATTATGCTATATACAATAATATGAAATCAACTCGTAGATAATAAAATCGTAAAAGTCCGAAACAAGTTCTAATGGATTTAGAAGTTTTATCAAAGATGGTTGTAATTAAGAGTTGTGAAATGCGTGAAAATGTAATGTTTTGTAAATAGGCTGCTTGTGAAATATTAGTAGTCTCTTACTCTTATCAAATCTTAAGAATGATTCGTGAATTAGACGAGTTTTATGATAAAGAATCTTTTAAACTACAGATTGCTTACTTTTTGACTCGAAATGAATCAATTACATTGTACACAAATTATTTCTAATTCATTTATATTATTATTGTTTGTCTAGCTTTGACACAGCTTATTAACTTTTATCACAATATACTGTAACATTATTTAGATGAATTATTATTTAATGTTATCTGTAGGAATATTATCTTTTTAGTTCGTCCATATCGTTATTATTTGTTCGTCTCTTTGGTCTTATTGCCAAAATCTCAACACTATAACTTTGATTATGGCTTTTTCTCACTCTCTATGTTTTGATAATTAAACACATTATATTTAAAAATATACTATTTTGAACTTTAATTAGATCTCATCAATATCAATATAACAAAAAATAAAAAAATTATTAAAACATAGAAAGTGAGAAAAAGCCATAATCAAAGTTGCAGTGTTGAGATTTTGACTATATATATATATATATATATATATATATAAATGTTTTTGTT